GCCAGCGGCTGGCTGCCACACACCCTGAGTTGGCGTACACATAACTCAAGGCCACATCCTCCCTGTCGCCCCCCCCAGCACTCCAAGGTGAAGAGAAAAAGCGCACCACATCACAGGTTAAAGAGAAAAGAAATTAGGTTGCTGATTATACCTCGTTTGGAATGAATCGGAACGGACATCGACGTTCATTCGATGAGCCGAGTCGATCTGCAGCAGGGGCATTCGCCAACACCACCCAGGTTTTGCACAAATACATGGAAACCGCCGCGCACCAGGCGGCTGCGGGCGCGCCGGCGGGCGCGCTCGTCACGGTCGGCACCCTCGACCATGGCACCTCCGCCGCCCAGCCGGCCGCGGGCGCCCCCCCCCAGAGCTTCATGTACACGATGGCGCCTGTGTCTGTTGATGCGGGCGCGCAAATGGCGGCGCACGGGATGGCTCCGGTGATCATCCCCGGGGTGATGAAGGCGTCTCCCCGATGGGCCATCTCCAAGAAGGCGAAGCTCATCCTCGAGCAGATATACCAGATGGAGCGCTTCCCATCTGCCGAGATGCGGCGGCGACTCGCGGAGGACTTTGAGGTCGAGCCGCGCCAGGTGCAGTTCTGGTTCCAGGCGCGCGCGCCCGCCCGCGGAGAGCGGAAGGGCGAGCGAATGGGCCTCCACCCCTCGCGGAACCTTCCCGCCCCTCCCTTCCCTCCTCCCCTCCCTCGGCCCCGCAAAACATGGGCGCTCGCTCTGACCAGCCGCGCCTCCGCTCCCCAGAACCGGCGGCAGCGGGACTCGCGCGCGCTGAAGCAGTCGCACGTCCTCACCAGCGGGGGAGCTGACGTCAAGAGCCAGACCTCCACCTCAAACGCCGAAGCCATCCTCGAGCAGCTCCGTATGATGAACCAGGCACCCTACCCCCCCCCCCCCCCCCCCTCTCCCCTTCTCTAAGGCTCTCCCTCAGTGCAATCTCTGCCCCCAGGCGCCTATTCCCGCCACCTATTCACCGCCGCAGCTGAGCGGCGAGCTGCCCCCGGCGGTGGGGCTGCAAGCGGGCTACTCTCTACCCACCTCTTCGGCCGTCGAGCAGCCCGCCTCCTGAGCCCGCTTCCGCAGGGCTGCGGTCCGGGGGCGGGAGGCGCGGGCCCGCTGGGCCCAAGGCGCGGCGAGCGGCTGTATAGCGTGGCTGGTTGGAGCACAGGAGAGGGTGGGAGCACGGGCAGAGGGGTAGCATGTCTGGCCTCGTCGAGATCGGCGTCGCCATGCAAACGCTTGCTTGGCAAGGCGGCGTGGCCGCGGCTAGTCGCCGGCGACTTCGTCTGGCTCGTCTGGCTCCGAATACGGACTGGTAGGTGTACAAGGAGCGCAGTGGGAGCATGTGGGACTCTATGTGACAGGCGTTCACTGAGACGCCTCTTGGGGGAGAGAGATGTGTCTTGAGAACGAGAGGAACCGTTCCCTCAACCCCACGCACCGGGAGTGGAAGAGCGAGGCGAAGAGCACACACATCCACATGCATCTCGTGGGTGCGGGTACGGGCGCTAGCCGCTACGGCAGTCGGCACGGCTTTACCAGTAATATATACCACGTACACGCAAGGCAGCTCCAGCTGCGTGTTCGGCCACATTGTAGTTGTACTGGTTGTGTAGGCTGTATAGCCCTCCCGGTCCGGCGTGTTCCCCACACCTACCTGTAAGCTATATAAACGCGCGGCGCCCCGGTCTCCAGGGGGGCAGTTTCCACTAGCACTACGGAGTCACCTGTGGCGCACAGCCTCTCACACATCAACTACCTCGCTGGCTGCCTCCGGTACCGGTCGATCCCGCAGGCTTTTCCTCGGCGTCGCCGCCGCCGCTGCTCTTCTCGAACACAGCGGACACCAGCATGCCGCCCAGTATGACGACGATGAAGATGAGGGCGATCGTGCATGCGATGAAGCCGCTTGCGAAGACGTTGATATGGCACTCTTCTGCGAGTTCCTCTGCGCTCGAAGAGCGACTCCCACAGAGAAAGGAGAGGAAGTTTATCTGGCATAGATACCGCGCGTTTGGCCACGCGAGAACTGCCATCCAGATAGCAAACGGCAGGATCAGTCCCCCGAAAGCACCGACAGCCTTGTCGAGCGAGGACTCCGCACCAAGCTTCTTCTTCTTCTCGAGGCGGAGGATGAATTGGGCGAGACCGTTGACGATGGCGATGGCGCCGAAGACAACTGTCAGCCACCAGAGGTTTGGAATGGCCGGGCAGGACCTGAAAACAGCACACGACGGCCGTGAGAGACCGAGGCGCGTGGCAAGGCCGATGCGGTGGCAATGCAAGCCCAAAGGGTGGCAGCGGCATGATGATCAGGCTCAGCGTGCCCAGGGTGCTCACCAAGCCTAACCACTCCTCCTTGGTGCGGTTCTCGTAGATGTCGACCGTCGGAGTGGACTCCATTATTGTGCCACACTACTGAGCAGCCGCAAGCGCAACCGACGGACGTCCGCATCGTCTATAGTGTAGAGCTAGCAGCACGTTTAGGTCGATAGGCTAGCAGCACGTTTAGTAACCTTACCTATCCCTTTCAACACACATGCACATGTCATGCACAACATGCACATGCACATGTACATGTTGTTGTTGTGTCTGTCTGTGAGAGGCGTTGTTTGTGCGATCCTGCCTGGTTGGTTGGTGCGATCTATCTTGCTTGCTTGGGCCCGGGCGCGGACGCGCGGTCGGTCGGTGGGTGTTGTTGTTGTTGTTGTTGTTGTTGTTGTTGTTGTTGTTGTTGTTGTTGTTGTTGTTGTTGTTGTTGTTGTTGTTGTTGTTGTTGTTGTTGTGTGTGTGTGTGTGTGTGTGTGTGTGTGTGTGTGTGGTGTGGTGTGTGAGCTGCGTGCGAGCTCTCACACTTACGAGCTAGATATAGAGCTCACACGCAGAGGCCGTCATCGCATTCGCCTTCCTTCCTGGGCCACCCACAGTGCTGCCTTCTGACTGTCGTCGCTGTCTGACTGCCTGTCTGTCCGTCTCTACTGTCTGTGCCACTCTTCGGATCGCTGGTCGAGCGACCCGGGGGAGGCCCCGCGCGCCTGACCCAGGGCGCGAGAAATGAATCTGCGAGGCGAGGCCGCTTGTGCGGCCCGATGGGGGGGAGGGGGGCGGAGCGGCGGACTATGGGGATCGGCTTCTTACACCGCCCTTCCGCGCAGCGAGAGACCCCTCCAACCCACCCGCGATAGGTCTCGGGGGACGCAGGGGTCACTCCCGCGCGAGCTCGGGAACTGTGGCCGGGGCAGTCGGAGAAGCGGGGCAACTCCGCGCACTGACGGTCGGCCGTCAGAAAACATGCCTGCATGGACCGCGTCACACTAATCCTTGCTACCCAAATCTAACACTTTATTGGGGGCCTGGAACCCTGCTCACGCGCTTTGTATTCTTTGTGTGCTGTGAGAGGCTTGAGAGAGAGCGCGCGAGCGAGAGAGAGAGGGAGTCTAGGTAGGAGGGAGCGAGCGAGCGAGTGAGACAGAAACTCTCTTCTTTCTTGGCTTGTGCGATCTCGGCTGGTGAAATCTTGGCAGAGAAATTATGTTTTGTTGGCTCCATCGCATCGCCAACCTGGGCGAGCTAGATCTAGTGACCCTTCCAAATTTCGTGGTCTGAGACTGCAACACGGCGTCTGTGTCGCCTACGAAGGGTAAACGCCCTTGTCGACCCGGCGCGTCCATTGAAGATGCCGGTTCCGCCGCCGCCGCCTCCTCCGCCTCCACCGCCTCCTCCGCCTCCTCCGCCGTTGGATTCTGACCCCTTCTCTCAGCTGGCAGAGCTTGTCGAGGAGCTGCAGCTTCCGCTCGCCAACCTTTGCGAGGGCTCGTGGGCGGCGACAAGCGCGCAGGTCAATGAGGTCGTCGAGGCGAAGATTGAGGCTGCCTTTGAGAAGATTGCCGAGCGCATCCGCCAGCAGCTGCAGCGTCCACGCGAGAACGAAATCCCGCGCCTGCTCGGGCGCGGGATGCACGCCGTCTTTGAGAACGTGTGGCCTGACCTGCGCGAGATGCTGCTCGAATACGCAATGAGCGGCGTGGAGCGGGGCCTAACCCGGGTACGGAAGGACCTACCCCTCAAGCCGCCACCCTCGCAGCCGCCATCCCGCCTCGCCCGCGTCCGCAACCGGCTGCTCTACACGCTCTACCCGTACGACCGCAGCTTTCTGTCTCAGTGCTGCCAGGCGCGCCGCACTGCTCGCGACGCGGCCCCTGCTGACTACTGCACTCACACCTGTGATGCCTCCCCTGAGAATGCAGTGGCAGTACTGGCTCCTCTTCGGCATACAGTGCGTCGCCTATTTCGGCATCTCGTCCCTCTTCTTCCTCGCCGTCGGCGCCAGAGATGAGCCACCGTGCCGAGCGCGGCGAGGGCGTCGCCTCACCGGCCCCGCCCGCGTGCGCAGGCTGCCTGATCGAGCGGAGAGACGAGTTCCAGCTCGCGCAGCACGTGCTCTACATGAAGGGCTTCATGTTCCTCTCCACGGGCTTCCTCGGCCTCGTCTTCTACGGCGGGTCGGACATGTACTGCGCCGCGGCCGCCTCGCCCGAGACGCTGCTCGCTTGCCTGCACGATGTCTCCCCGGGACGGCGAGCGAGCTACGCGGCAGAGTGCGTCCTCTACAGCCTGCAGGCGGACTGCCACCAGCACCGCCGTGTGTCCTCGTAGCGCGTGCCTTCTTCCCGCGCGTTCTTATAGCACGGTGGGGTGCAGCTGGTGGGGTGTCCCCTGCGGCCACGAGACCCTAGACAAGTCCCTAGACGAGACCTCTCGAGTTCGAGCGGCGTCCCTCCCCGAGACGCTTCTCTTCTAGCCGTGCCGCAGGTGGCCGCCGTCTGGTGGGCGATGCTGCAGCTTCGGCTGGCGGCGCAGAGGCAGGCGGCGCCCGACTACGCGCCCCTCGGGGACGACGGCGAGGAGGAGGGCGAGAAGGCGGGAGGGCGGTCCTCCGCGCCCCGCTCCCCTCTCCCTTCCTCGGTGCCGTCCCCTGTGCCGCCTCGCGCCTTCGGCCGGCGGCGAGGACAGAGCATCAAGGGGCGGCGAGGCGGCTGGCTGGCGCGGCTGATCGCGTACGAGGTGTGCTGCTTCGGGCTCTGCGCAGCCCTCTTCGCTGCCGCGGCGGTGCACCACGGCTTTCGGGTTGCCGCGGGGGGAGGGCCTCGGCCGGAGGCGAGGGCGCCGAAAGAAGAGACGGCAGGGGTCGCCCGGACATGAGGCTACAGAGGGGTTGGCGTGTGCGCCGCGTAGGACTGGACGATGATCTGGACAACCCTCACTTGGTGCAAGACGCTGTACGGCCTTCTGGCGGCGCGCAACCCCTCGCCCCCCTCGCGCCTCCCCGCAGCCCTCGGCACGCGGCAGCACTCGCGGGGGGTCTCCTCTCTCCTAGGCGCCCTACCTCCTCTTCATGCTCCCGCTCGTCGGCGAGATTTTGCTGCAGGTGCCGCTCATGACGGGGTACGACGAGCACGGCGCGCCGCGCCGCGCCGCACTCCTCGCCCCTCTGTGTGTGTGTGCCTGCTCAAGGTGGCTGCTGACTTGCCCGATGACACGTCCGCAGGCCAGCTGCAGCGCTACCTGACTGCGGTCGAGCTGGACAAGGCGAGGGAGGCCCGGCTGATCGCGCGCCTGCAGGCGAAGCAGGCCCGCGAGCTGGCCCGGGATCGTGAGCGGGCGGGTTGCGGGTCGCCCTGCTTGAACCCTTGACGACTGAACCAGCCAGGACTGAACGCGGAGAGTCGAGCGAGAGAGTGCCGGTCAGTGTCGCTTCTGTGCATAAGGCCTTCTTGCCTGTCGCACTCTTGCCTGTCGCACACATGCACATGTGCAATCGTTTCGCAGTTGGGGCCTGTGTCAGACCTGGGCTTGAGATTGAGGAGATATCGCGTCGGTTCCGGTAATCGGATATCGGATATCGGTCTGCGTGGAACATTATGTAAGTTCCAAACAAATAAATTCCCGAAAGACCGCACAGACAGGTGACAAACACAACGCTCAGCCTGTCCTCAGGCTCAGCGGCCAAAAGGGCGAATAATTTAACAAACATGACTCTCTCTCACAGCAGACAGATTCGCCGGAACTAACACACACAGGCGGAGTGAAGTGTGAAGAAGTCGCGCAGCTGCACCCCAGGCATGAAGCAACCGTTACGAGGCTAGCCTCGTACCTCGAGAAGATATGTGTACATATGGCTCCTGTCGTCGCGAAGAAGGGCAGTAGCACCAGTAAGATTGCTCCCGAACCGAGCGCACCAACCGGCAGAATCGGCAGCTCTAAAGAGGTATCATGCAAATCCGAGCCGTCTGGCATGGCATCCAAATCCGAGCCGACTGGCACGGCACTGCCAGCGCCGCGACCATTTCTTTCGATCTCCAACGACCTCTGTGGCCTTGTGATTTCGTCTTGGCTCGTGCCGACGGTGAGGCGTCCTCGCAAAGGTGTCCTGACCTTTGTGGGTGCCTTGTTGGCTCAGCTTGGCTTCCTCTTGTACATGGTTGAGATCATCATCCACGGAGGCAAGAGCACCTGCGAAACGCCCGCTCTGCTTCAGTTGGTCGCCCTCTACACCTTTGGCTCCGCATGCGCCGCCGGATCGCACAGCGACAACCTGCTGCAAGTTGCCCTTGTGTGCCAGCGGCTGCGGCTTCCCGCCGCTCCTGTGGCCGACAGCCACGGGCGGCTGACACAAGGCAGCGAGGCAAAAGCCGCTCAGGGGCAGAGGGAGTGGCCATGCCGCGACATTTGCACCGTTGACGTTGCCACGCGTCAACAGGTGATCATCCCAGTCCGGCCGACGTCACGGCGCGCGCGGATGCTGCTCGCGTGCGCACCTCTCGCTTCGATGCTCATCGAGCTCCTCACGCTCTGCGTCGGCCCGATCTCCTCAGCTCTCTTTCACCAAAGCATGCCACTGCTCTCATCATCAATCCACGGTAGGCGCTGTCTACCTGCTCTTGTCTGCGACCACCGAGGAGCTGATTCTAAACGCGGTGAGATCCGGCAGAGACGCGTGGGTTTAGTTGTGGGTGAGTGTCGAGCGCTCCCGGCGCGGCGTCAGGTGGCGACGAACTTCGTGACGCAGATCGACGAGGTGATGCTCACCGCGTTTGTGCACCGCGCGTCGCGCGATCGGCTGAGCAAGTACCAGTACGAGCATCTGTGGGGCGTCGAAGAGGGCGACACCCGGCTGAAGAATGTGAGCGATCGGTCGAGGTGGCTCGCGCGCAGACAGGAGCTGCTGCCACTCGTCTTGCTGCTGCTCGCCACCGTCACGGTCGGTGCCGGGCAAGCGTACGGCAGCCCTCAGGACGGCGAGTCGTGCAGCTTCGTCTACCCTCCCGAGAGAGAGGCTCCAGAGGCTGTCTGACGTCAGGGCGTGCGTGCCGCTGCCGGAGAATGCACTTGTCTTTCACAAACGACAAACTTCGCGCCAGTTGGGGATGTGCGCGGGCGTCGCTCTTATCAGTCAGTGCGCGCAAGTTCGTTGCCGGCATCGCGCATGCTCATTTTAGATTTTTTATAAGCGCATCAATAACAATATGTGTGTTCTCTCTTGTGACTCGCCCAGGACTCGCCCTGCCGATTCTTGGGGCTTGGCGCCGCGTCACGGGGCTCGAGCAGGGAGGACGGGCGCGGTGCCTTTCCCCTCCCCGCCGTCATGCCGACGCGACACCACAGGGAAAGCTGGCCTCTCGGCGACTCGGCCCGTGCCTCCCCAACTCCCTTTGCACATCGCGAGTCCCGCCGCGCCGGCGCCTAATTTTGCAGCATCGGCTGCAGCTTGCCCGCTTTATCAAGCGTCATCACGCCGCCCAGACCGCCGTCGTTGCAGCCGCCGACAAACTCGCCGCCGATGAAGACGGCAGGGACGGAGGTGCGTCCCGTGAGGTCTGCGAGCTCTGCGCGGAGGGCGTAGCCGTCCTGCACCTCGTTCAGCTCGACGACGCGGTACTCGGCGCCGTAGCCGTCGAGCACCTGGCGGGCGAGCGGCGAGGAGAGCACTCTCGGGGTTGTGTGCGTGCTGTTCGAATGTCTGTCGAGGTGGCGTTGGCAAGGCAGCGACGCCAGCACTCGCCTGCTTCGCCTTGACGCAGAAGGGTCAGGTCGTAAACGAGAACATTACCACGCGGTCGCCTAGGGAAGGTGCCGCGAGCGGGTCTGCGATCGGCCAGCCCACTGAGGGCATGCACAGGAGGTGTTGCCGGCAATGATTCCATCGAGCTGCGCACGCATCGCGATCTCGTCGTAGTCGCCGGCCTGCAACTTGGCGAGCCCCTTCTTGAACTTTGCCGCCGGGCTGTTTTGGATGGCCTCTTGCAGACCGTTGATGGCTTGGATGAATGGGTTGCCGGTCGGGTCCTCAGCGCAGGTGAGCACAGAGGCGCGTGCCACGGAGGGCAGACGCGCTGAGCGCGTCGACGAGGGGAGAGAGAGCGCGTGGCCATCTGGGGCCAGGCAGAGGAAGAGCGCGATCGCTGCTCGATACAGCATCTCTCTCTCTGTTGTCGTGTCAGGCTCTTGTGTCAACAGTGGCGAGCCGTTTAGGCAGCAGCGAGCCACAGCAGCGAGCCAGCGGAAGCTTCTCTCTCAAAGAAAACAACCTGCGCAGCGGAGCTGGGAATAGGACCGCCGCAAGCGGCGTGGCGTGGAGCGGTTGAGCATCCCTCCGGGGGCCCCTCTGCGCCGGGGAGGCGATGTTGGAGCTAGGACGCAAGCGTCCGTCGCCCTTTTCAAACTCGGGGCCCCACTCCGCTACGCTCCGAGGCCTCCGACCCGAATTTGGAGGCCTGAAAGTTTAAGGTATTGCTGCGCAAAAGGGGTCGGACACAGGGCGCAGCTCATGCTAAGAGCTAGAAGGGGAGCTAGAGAGAACGACTACCCTGTCCCGTTATTGCGTACACCAACACCACAAAAGCTCTCTCTCTCCTGTCCTCACTCAGAGCACAGAGGGGGGTCACAACTACCGAGTCCCTCGACTAGCTGCCACGTTGCCGACCGAGAGCGGATCTCCTCCTGCTCCACAAGGAGGGTGGCCAAGGCTAAAGTCTTGCCGGAGCCGCCGGGCGCGTTGACGACTTGGAGAAGGTCGCCCTTGTACTTGTGCTTGTAGAGATGCTCGAGGGGGTGCTTTGTGGGGCGGTGCGCAGCCAGGCCAGCAGTGAGGGGAGGCGCACCCTCACTCTCCTCGGTTGCAGAGCTCGTCGGAGGCTGCGTCACGACGGGAGGGTCGCGACAGCAGTCCTCGGGCGAGCCGACGCGCATGTCCAACCAGCGCTGGGACTCGTTGTGACGGCAGACGCCGGCTGCCTCTCCAACCGCTTCTGCAGCGTCCTTCTCTGGGCTCGATCAGCGGCTTTCCCTCAGTTGCTCCGAAGCACGGATTTGGCGGACGTTCTTGGTTTCAATTTTACGGATGTCTTGGCACCAGCTGACATCCCAGCTGAAGGCTTGTACGGCTCAGATCACATGGTTTCTGCACGGTATTCGGATTTTGCTATTTGCTCGTGTGGGGGTATATTGCAGATTTGTCAATGGTACCGCGTCTCCGTCTGCGACGCGGGCGCCTTGCTTGCGGGCAGAGCCCTTAGCCACCCTTTATATCTTGCGCGGTCAAAAGCGCGGGCAGTCTCTCGCATTGTCCGAATCGACATCAGCGCCACTGCTTCGGCGGCTAAGCCATTTGCGGCGGGCGCGCCACCGGCAGCCGGCGGGGGACAAGTGCTCGAGGTGAGGGTGCCGGCAGCGGCGCACGGACGCGAGGTCGAGGTGGTCGTCGCGGCAGAGAAAATTTGAAGTGAGACGAAAAGTGTCCCGAGAACGGCCCCGCGAGTCGTACGTACCGTCTACCGTCTACGAGTGATCCGCTCACTGATCTCGCGTCGCTCGGGCACTGACACGAGCTAAAATGTAAAAAAACATGTGTGTGTGTATATCCACCACTGGACTACGCGTAATCGTACACCTATAGACTTCCAGCGGGCAGCGATGTGTGTTACGATCTCCTCCACACCGCACACGGCTGGCCACTGAGACTAGAGAGCCGTCACGCGTAGGCCCGTACGAGCGGCCAGGGAGGGTATCGCATGCGTCAATGGCATGTACGAACAGCTAGCAGAATATCCCAGGACCCCCACCTCCTATCTGGCGCCCTCGCCGGCTGGAAGCTAGCAGCCGCACGGGGGCGCTGCCCCGAGCCGCGATGCAGCCGAGAATTGCCGCCAGAGTGAGCCGGGACGCGGAGGATGTGCGACCAACCCCGCCCCTCGAATTACTCCCCCTCCTCCAAACGGCGCCGCTTGGCGAACGGCGAGCCGTCGCCATCGCCTACGCAGAGAGAGCCGCCGAGCAAAGTTAGCCGAGATTGACCCGAGATCGCTCCTCGATGCAGACAGCCGGTCGGTGCCTCCCTCGCTGTTCGACGCCTCCACCGCCGATGCCGCAACCGGCGCCGGCGCTGCCTCAGCCTCCTCCATCTCAGTGTCGCGTGCGCCCTCGCCCTCGCCCTCGCCGCCGCCCTCGCCCTCGCCCTCGCCGCCGCCCTCGCCGCCGCCCTCGCCGCCGCCCTCGCCGCCGCCCTCGCCGCCACCCTCGCCGCCGCCCTCGCCGCCGCCCTCGTCGCCGCCCTCGTCGCCGGCGGCGCCTGCGTTGGCACTGAGCGCCGCCGCCGCCGCGCGCTTGCGCTCCGCGGCGTGCACCTTTCGCTTCCACCGCCGCTGGCGCTGGTAGCGGTGCATGTCCCTCTCTGCGCGCCGCTCGAACGGCCGCCTCTCCTCCTCGCTCAGCGTCGCGTACTCGCGCCGCAGCAGCTCCGCCACCTCCGCCGCCACGCCGCTGCTCGCAGCCCTCTCTCCGGTGGCCGCCTCGCAATGCCGCTTGTAGATCTGGATGGCGCTCATCGGCGGCACGACGCCGTCGAGCCCGCGCGCGCGGTGCGCCGCGCGCCGCCTCTCCCGCTCGGCCAGCAGCCACGCCGACTCGGCCGCCGACGCCTGCAGGAGGGCTCAGAGAAGCAGCTCAGAAAAGGGTCCCCGCCTCCGCCACGCCGCCTCTGCCGCCGCCGCCTCGGCGCGCAGAGTGCGCACGCCCTCGGCCGTCGAGCGCCAGATGGCGAGGGCCTCGTCGACCTCGTACTGCTCGAGGTCCTCCTCGTCGCCGTCGTCCATCACCACGTGGAAGAGAACCTCGCCATCCCCGACCTCAGTGTGCGTCGCCACCTCCGCCGCGCCCTCGCCGTTGCCCTCGCCGCCGCCGCCCGCGCCTTCGGCGACGCCACCCTCTGCCGAGGCGGCGGCCGCGACGCCAGCCTCGGGGCCCGCGACGCCAGCCTCCGGCCCCGCGAGGCGCGCCTCTGGATCCGCGCCACCGTCGGTCCGCGGGGTTGCCGCAAACGCCGCCGCGGCCTCCGCAGCATCGGTGCCGTTTGCCGCTTCGCCGCCGAACTCCGCCGCTGCGCCGCCGCCCTCCGGGGCTTCGTGGAGCGGCGAGCCGTCGGCGGGTTGGCTGGCGTCTGCCGATGCTGCCGCCGGCGGGTCGGCCGGCGGGTGCGGCTCTTGCGGCGAGGGCGCGGCGGAGGGCGGGAGGGCGGAGGGCGGGAGGGCGGAGGGCGGGAGGGCGGGCAGCCAGCGCGTGATTGTGCCGAGGAAGGGGCGGCCTCCGCCGATGCCTTGGAAGCGGCGCGCGACGCGAGCGCCGATGAGCTCGTGCCCCGCCTCGAGCCACCTACGGGCGGCCGGTCCTGTCCCTCGCCGTGCCCCGATGCCCCCCCCCCCCCCCCCCCGGGTAGCTGTGGCGCGCCCTTCCTCCTTGAGGCGAACCGCCTCGGCCTCCGCCTCGGCCGCCTCGGCCGCCTCCTCGGCCGCCGCCTCGGCCTCGGCTTTCTCCTCCTCGTCGAGCTCGAGCTCGAGCTCCGGGCCCGCCTGCGCCTGCTCTCGGGCGGGGTGGCGAAGGGGCAGGGCTGGAGCATGGCGCAAAGGCGCGACAGGTGATGAGAGGCCGAGGCACGCGTGCACTATTGAGGGCTCCCGCCTGCTCGAGCGCGCGCTTCCACTGCTTTCGCATCGCCTTGGACTTGCCCGAGTACGGCATCTTGGCCGCGTACTCGTCCGCCCGCTCCGCAAACGGCACCATCGTGCCGTCGCAGCTGACCGTCGCAAAGTCGCGGCAGTCGCCAAAGGTTGTGCCGCAGAAGCGCACGCGCGCCTTCCATGCGGCGGCCGCCGCCTCGCCGCCGGGCACGCCTCCTGCGCTCGCCCCATCGCCGCCCTCGGCGGCCCCGGCCTCGTCGACCGCTGCCGGAGCCGAGCGCTGCTCGAGGCGGCGCACGCGGGCCGGCCACCACGGGAAGCCGGGCAACTTGGCCCAGACGAGCTCGCCGCGGCGGAACGGCTCGGCGCTCTGCACGGCGCCCTCGGCGGGCGATGGAGCCGGCGTGAGGATGGAGTCGGGCATTGCTTCAGCCGCTACCCAATATGCCCCTCTCTAGCAACGCGGGAAAGATTAGTTTGCACGTCAGCTTTTCTTCTTTTTCTGGGAGCGCTCTGATTAAATACGGCGTCGCTGTCGATTGGCCATCGGCTGCCGCTGTGCTGCTGCGGGCAGCTGCACGTGACACCACACCCGCGCTTGTCCGCGGCGAGAAACATTCCGACCCCGTTGTCTGGCAGCCACATGCAGCCCGCTGAGGACATCACCGCCGTTCTTGGCGTCACCGCCCTGTGCGCTTTCCTGTTTCTCTACGAGGCGGCGCCTTGGAAGAAGGCGGCGGCCAACGCCGGTCGGACAGTGGAAGCGCCGCCACCGCTGCCGCCTCACAGCCCGACGCCACCGCCGGGGTCAACGCCATCGGAGCCGGACGGGACGGAGCGCATGTCGGAGATGTTTACTTCCGGAAAGGACTGGGACCCCTTCACGCCGGCGGAGCTCGCCGTGCTCGCAAAAGTGCATGAGCGGCTCGGCCCCGCCCTCGCCGACGTGCCGGTCGATTTGCTCGCGCAGTTTGTCCGGTCCGCGCCGCACACCGCGTCGGGCGAACCGTGCGTGGGCGAGCGGCTCGAGGCGGCGCTCGCGTGGCGCGCGCGAGAGGGTGTCGACCAGCTCGTGCAGGCGCCGCCGGTCGGGAGGGACGAGTTCGAGTGGCTAATGCCCGCGGCGCGACGCCTCCGAGACGCGTCCGACTCCTGAGAGGCAACTCTCCCACCCCCGGCCTCCGGCCTCAGGGCTGCGTCGGCCACGACCGCGAAGGGCGACCCGTGATCCTCGAGCGGCCAGGCCGAGACCGGCAGGCTGTGCTGGCGGCGCTGGCGGCGATGAGCGCCGAAGAGTTTGTGCGGCAGCAGGCGAGGAGGGAGGCGCAGCCCCGCTCGGCGAGGCCTCAGCCTCACGTGGCGGGGTCCGCTGCAGGTGTGCTCCAAGGAGTGCATACGCCACTTCCTCGGCGCCGCCAGCCGGAGGCGCGGGCGGCGCATCTCCAAGTTTGTGTCTGTGATTGACGCGGGCGGGATCGGGCGGCACCACTTCGACCGGCGCAACGTCGCATTCTTCAAGGCGAGAGAGAGAGGCAGAGACAGAGGCAGAGAGAGGGAGGCAGAGGCTGAGAGAGGCAGAGAGAGAGGGGGGGCGGCTGAGAGCGCCTCGCTGCTCTCTACGTGGACGGCTGCCCTCTCCTCCCCGAGGCCTTCGCCGAGGTGTCCTCGGCAAACTACCCGGACTGCCTCGAGCGCTTGTTCGTCGTGCGCGCCCCGTACCTGATGACTGCCCTCTGGGCGCTCCTGCGGCCGCTCCTCCACCCCGTCACCGCGGCCAAGGTGAGCATCCGAAGTAGCAAGGCGCTCGCTGCGTGACGCGATAAACGTTTGTCGACAACGGCCAAAGGTGAGCATCCTCGGCGGCGACTACGCGGCGGCGCTCGAGGCGGACGGCGTCAGCCTGCCGTCGGGCAAGCTGCCCGAGAGCGACGAGCTCGAGGGGTGGGTTGCGTCGACGCGCCGCCTGCTGGCCGCCGCACGAGCAGAGGCAGAGGCCGTCCTCTCCCGCCCCCGCCCTCCACCCGCCCCGCCTCGAGGCTGCGTCTCGGCGCCTCACCACCACTGCCCCCCCTCCCGGCGCCAGGCAGGGGAGTCGCCTTCCCTCGCGGAGGGGGTGCTGCCGCCCGCAGACGCACGCGCGATCCGGCAGCTGCTCGCCGCTCCTCGCGCAACGCCCGCCGCGAGGAGGCCTTCGCCGCGAGAGCGCGCACCGCCGGCGGAGGTGGCGAAGGGCGAGGGCGCGCCGCCGGACTCGCTCTGTCGAAAAGAGGAGCAGGAGGCTCGGCTTGCGCCGGCGTCCGTCCTCGTGGGCCCCGTGCATGCAACCGTCGACTCGGCTCGCTCGCAGAGCAGATTGCGCGAGGAGGCGCAAGCAGCGCGTCTGACGTCGCCCCGTCCCGTGGCCTCTTGCAGGCTGCAGCGTGGCTGGCGGCATTGGCGGCGCGGCTGGCGATCTGCGTTGAGGGCGGAGGGAGCCAGCGCAGCCCCGTGCCGGCTTGACGCACGTGCATGTGTCAAAGTGCCCCGTTCGCATGTTGAGAGCGGTGTGTGTGCGGATTTGAGCGACACGTACCTTAGTCCTTACAGAATCCGCGACAAAAACGATCCCCCCAAAAGAAAAAAGTTCATAGAGGACCGCGCGCGTTTTATTGGATATTGCGACGTAAGCCGTAAGGTATACTCTCTATGTCGCGCCGCGCCCGCGGTGCCGGTGGCCGGTGTGCAAGCATTCGTCCGAGCAGCGAGCTCTCACGCCGCGCGTAGGGCCCTTCGAGGGGGCTAGAGAGCACACAACCCCCTGCCTCTCCCTTTTCTCCCAGTAAGCTAAACGCGACGTACGGATATGCCATATCGATACCTGATCGAGATATACTCGTTGGTGAGATTACTGCGGTTCTCGGGTGTGGGCCCGCACAGCTCAGGACACATTATACACATCATTTTGTTAGTTGAGAGCCGTTGCACATACGACAAAAGCACGTCGCGCCCGAGCCCCGCGGCGTGGGCCAGCGGGGCGTGGCGTGTATGAACACTATGAACACTGTCAGTGCTAAGTGTCACTGACTCTTTGCGCGATATGCGAATGGGCTGATGCGCGTGGCCATGAGCTGAGTGCTCTTACGTTGACGTTCCGACGTCCATTCTCGGGTGGCCGCTCCGAATCGGCTCCGCGAGCGCAGGCAAAGCCCACAGCGGCAGTCAGAACTGGCAAGCCCGCGGGGCAGGTTAGGTCAGCAATTGAGCGATACCGCGTACGGCGCGTACCTTAGTCCTTACAGAATCCGCGACAAAAACGATCCCCCCCAAAAGAAAAAAGTTCATAGAGGACCGCGCGCGTTTTATTGGATATTGCGACGTTAACGTACTCTATCGCCGTGCAAATTCGTCCGAGCAGCGAGCTCTCACGCCGCGCGTAGGGCCCTTCGAGGGGGCTAGAGAGCACACAACCCCCTGCCTCTCCCTTTTCTCCCAGTAAGCTAAACGCGACGTACGGATATGCCATATCGATACCTGATCGACACTCGTTGGCGAGATTACTGCGGTTCTCGGGTGTGGGCCCGCACAGCTCAGGACACATTATACACATCATTTTGTTAGTTGAGAGCCGTTGCACATACGACAAAAGCACGTCACGCCCGAGCCCCGCGGCGTGGGCCAGCGGGGCGTGGCGTGTATGAACACTATGAACACTGTCAGTGCTAAGTGTCACTGACTCTTTGCGCGATATGCGAATGGGCTGATGCGCGTGGCCATGAGCTGAGTGCTCTTACGTTGACGTTCCGACGTCCATTCTCGGGTGGCCGCTCCGAATCGGCTCCGCGAGCGCAGGCAAAGCCCACAGCGGCAGTCAGAACTGGCAGGCCCGCGGGGCAGGTTAGGTCAGCAAAGGCCGCGTGCCGTCCACACGCCCGTCGTGCGGCTCGTGCCACATCGCGGGCCGCGCGGCGTCAGCCGTCACTTGCCATGGAAGGGCAGCGTCCACAGGCCCAGTCCGACCCTTTCATCAGCGGGATACTCCTCGCTCCACCAGGCGAGGGGTGGCGGCAGCGAGAAGGGAGGCTTTGTGAGGTCCTGTGGGTGCGCGATAGAGGGCGAGCGATCAGGTCGAATTGGGCGCACTCCCCGTCACCACTCTCTCTCCCTCGGCGCCTGAGGGCGGTAGCCCGCCGACGCGCACGGGAGGTCCGTGTTCTCAAATCCCGGACCGGTGGTGAAGGTGGTGAGTAGGGCCAGCTTGGCGCCCGAGCGGGAGATGAGGCCGAGCTCGTGTGCCACGTCGCGGTCACATTGATGCTGCATCTGCCGCAGGCGGAGATGGAAGTCGGCTACGGGCAAGTGCTCTCATCGCCTCTTTGCAATCTATCCAGCGCGACGCACCATCTGCCGCGAGAAGACGAGCTCCGCTTTCGGAAGCTCCTGCAGCGCCGCGGCGTCCGCGAGCAGGAACGTGGTTGCGTTGTCAGCAAGGGACCGGTTCGCCGCCGCCACAAGGCCCGGCAGGATCTCCAGGCCAGTGTAATTGACCTGTCATTCAACGTGGAAGCGTGTGGACGTGCGCGGCGCGTTGCGTCGCGGCGGCAGTCGCAGCGGCAGTCGCGGCGGCAGTCGCGGCGGCAGTCGCGGCGGCAGTCGCGGCGGCAGTCGCGGCGGCAGTCGCGGCGGCAGTCGCGGCGGCAGTCGCGGCGGCAGTCGCGGCGGCAGTCGCGGCGGCAGTCAACACACCTTCATTGACGCGCGCAACCAGCGGAGAGCGGTGCGAGTGAAGCAGAGGTCACCAAAAGGCACATCCAGATATGAACGAATGCGGAACTGGCGGACTAGCCACACAAGTCTCGCGGCGGCGGCCCGTCCTTGCCCTGTCGGTACGTCCGACCAGCCCGAGGAGCAGGCAGCGTCGTCAGCTCCGCCAACCCATCGGCCCTCATCGTACGCTGCCTGCATCGCGGCGAGGCGCGAGCCGGCTGGCGGGGTTGCCGCCGCGAGCAGCGCGGCTGGAAGGGTCAGGAGGAGGAGCTTTGGGCTTGACATTGTGGTGGCAGGTCAGACGTCGTGTCTTGATTGAGCACTTGAGCACTGGATAGGGATGTCAAGCCCGTCATACGCGGGTTCGATCGACACACTTTCCTTTTTACCGCCGTGTTACACTGACAGAAAGAAAAGGGAGCGCGGCCTTGGGATTTCTTTTTAGGCGCGGGCGGGCTATGTGGCCCTGCTTTTCGCTGCATGCTCGAGCCCTCGGCGAGGGCTGAATGCAGGCGTGGTCTGTACTCGCCAGATGTGGCCCCTCCTGCAGGCGCTCGGCGCACTGCTCGTCCTGTTTGGCATCTTCACGCACGCTCGCCGGCTGTCCGCCTCACTCAGCGACGACGTTGACCTGCTGCCGAGGGGAGCGGCGCTGCTAGACCCGTCTCACGCACAGCATGCCGCCATTGTGCGGCTGCCCTCCTTCCTCAGCGCGGCCGAGATTGGTGTGCTCGAGGTAGCCGCCAGCGACCATCGCTCGAGCCACCCGGACTCCGGCTTCACGCTCTACCTCCAATCCGGCGGCCTGTCTGCGTCTGTGGACGCCATCGTGCAGCGAATCCACGAGCAGGTGCGAAGGATCGACGTCGAATCGTGGGGTCTGAACGCAGTCCACGACCTGGAGGGCGTTGCCGGGGCGCGCTTCAGCGCCTCTGGCTCGTCGAGCGAGAGCGACGCCTCGGCAGACAGCGGCGGGTCGAGTAGTTGCTCTGCCAGCTACTCTGTTGACGGGTCGATGCGTGCGAGGCGGTCAGCTGCTCGGGAAGGCGCCGCGTGAAGCGCGCTCCCTCAGTGCCGTGGCGGCGCGAGTAGGACAGTCGAGTTCCATGAGTACGGCAGCGGCAAGCGGCAGGCGCGGGCGGCGAGAGGAGAGAGGGAGAGAGATAGAGAGGGGGGGGGGAGAGGGAGGAGGGGGGAGAGGGTATGGCATGCTTGGCGCTCCCTCTGCTCGCCGACACTCCTTTCCAAGGGCGCTCTCAGCGCGCGCGTGCCTGCTGCAGGTCTGCGCCAGCCACTGCGACCACGGCTCGCTCTTCACCGCCGACGTGCCTCCGCCGCACGGTTGGCTTCCCGCCCCCACCTCTCCGCCTCACCCTCGGCACGCCTCTGCTGCAGGTGATGCTCAGCTGCACGGGCGACTTCACGGGCGGACGCTTCTCGACGACGACGGCGAGGCAGGGCCAGGCGCGGCGGTAGACGCGCAGCACACACGACCCGAGCAGCTCGCACGTCTCGACTGCCTCACCCTCCGCCGCACCGCGCCTCCCTACCGCTCCCGGCCACTCCCGGCCCCTCCCGGCTAGGCGCCCGTCGACACGGAGCACGACTTTGAGCGAGGCGCGAGCAGCGCACACACACCGCTCCCCGCCCGCACGCCTCGCCCGCACGCCTCGCCCGCACGCCTCGCCCGCACCTCCCAGCGTCCTGCACCTCCCAGCGTCCTCCTTGCGCCGCTGGGCGAGGTTTGCCTAGAGGTGGAGGGGTGGAAAGAAGCAGGAAGGGAGGCGGGTCCCGAGGGTCGTCGGCGAGGCACCCCTCCTCCTGTCCTGGCAGGCGACATGCTCGTCTTCCCGGCGCACAAGCCCCACTCGGTGAGCCGCGTCACGAGCGGCTGCCGCGCCGTCTTTGTCGTCGAGTTCTGGCGCGGCCCTGCGTGCACCTGCAACCAGCGCTGCATGGGGCGGTGCGCGGCGGGGCGGAAAGACCATGGGAGTCACGGGCCCTCGGGCCGCCGCCGCCGCCAGCCGCGAGCCGTTCCACCGCAGCCGCTCCTCGCCGCTCGTCCAGGCGCGGCGCGCAGCTAGCCCCTGTGTGTGGCTTGGTGTGTGTCTGATGTCTCAGTCTGAGTCTCCGAGCAGTGGCGGAGTGCTATGTCGTGTAATGGACTGATGCAAATGCCGGCACGTGCGCGTCCCCCGCGCCCGGCGCCGCGCGCAGCCCCTAGCGCTCTCTCTCGGTGGACAAGCGCTGGAACGCCTGTGTGAAGCTGGCCACATCGCATTGCGGACGACTCTGATCTCTGTGGACTGTGCATCGACCGGACGTGGGAACGCGATCCGCGCGACCGCGAGATTCCGAGAATCGTAAGCAATCGAGTTCGAGATCTTCATCTTGACGAGATGCCGCTTGAAGCTTGAGCGGAGATCGACCTCGCCTCCATCGTCCATGTTCGCGTGGTAGTCTAAGTCTTTTTTGAATTAACTAGTGGTAGTCAGCTCGTACCATGTACGGTCTCGTAGTAACTAGAGTATACCGCGCGCGAACCCCTACCTCCGAGCGGGGCACGCGCGCGTTACGCGTACGGCGTAGTCCGTACATGTAGAGAGGGAAGGGACAAACCCGCCTCTTAAGACACATCTGTAAGTCTGGTGCACTGGCAGGAGCCATACTCGCATAGGGGGCGCGTGCTAGCTGACTGTAGCCAGCTTCCCGGCCTCCGGCGTCTACCGGGAGCCTCCCCCCGGACCATCGACCTCGGGAGCTCTCCCGCACCGTTTAAGCGTTTAAGACCGTTTAAGGAATCGGCGGCCCAGCAGCTCTTAAAAAACCTGCCCGGGCAGGTTTTAAGCCGTTTAAGCCGCAGGCGCCCCAGGGCCCACCCTTTTAAGCCTAGGGGTACCCTAAGAGCAGTACGGGGTACTAGGAACCGTTATGATGTATCTTATTCCGGGGCCGGTGTGCGGGGAGTGAACCTTAACGACCGCCCAGAAGCTTTCTGAACCCGAACGAATCGGGCGAGGATCATCAGCATATGTCCCCTCCACAACATCGTGGGCGTTTGAGCGGTATTTGAGGAGCACCGCCACCCTGAAGTTCGGCCGGAGGTGGTCTGCAGACCCCCCCCGCCGGACGCCGGAGCAGCAGAGGCTCCGTGGGGTCGCAAGTAGACGCTGGGAGTCGCACTCGTCAAACCGTCGGTGAGAAAGTAAAGGAAACTGACGACGAGAGACCTGCAAGCCGACTGTGGCCTCTCTCTACGTTAGCGCTGCTGCAGGGCAATAAAACCAGACACGCCCCGGCGCGCCCCACCTCTCCTGCGCACTGACTCCGCTGTCGCGCGCACGTGGGGAGGTGTTTGCGCGGCGCCCCCGCGCGCACACAAAGCATGCTCACAGTGCCAAGGCTGACGATGTACGAGGGGGGAGGGGGCGGAGAGGGGAGAGGGGAGAGGGGGAGGGGCGGAGAGGGGAGAGGGGAGAGAGGGGAGCGGGGAGAGACCCAACAGACGTGCACATCGGGCAAGGACACAGAGAGGTGTACGGTAGGGCGGCCGCGGTCGGGCGCTCCAGCGTCGGCGGCTCAGTTGGTCATAACCTTGATGTCCATGATCTGCTCGGTGCCGCACGCCGCCTGCACAATGACGTAAAAGTCCTTCTCCTCCGCAAGGTGCTCCCTGATCTTCTTGGAGAGCTCGTCGGCGCCGGGCGGGGGCTGCGCCATCGCCTCAGGAATCTTGAGGTCCTCGCGCGTGTTGCCCTCAGCGTCCAAGACGGTGATGAAGCCGTCCTCGTCGACGTCCATCGCCTGGTACTCGATCTTCTTGACGAAGGGAGCGTAGGTCGTGTGCGACGCAGGCACGAGGTCCTCAATCTGCGAGCGAGGGCGAGGCGGGGCGGACCGCTCAGCGAGTCGCGCGCACAGCCGCGGGGGCGGCCGGGCGGTGGGAGCTCTCTCTCTTTGGCAGGCGGCGAGAGGCGGGGACGGCGAGAGGCGGGGACGGCCAGGCCGGACAGACGCCACGTGCCAGCCCCTGGCGAGTGTCGGAACGGCCAGAGAGGCGAGCTTGGCGGCGGGCGGCGGGCGGCGGCGAGGTGCGGCGCGCCTTCTTGCCAGTGAAGATGTCGATGGCCACGAAGTGGCACTTGGCGTGGCCGTGCTTGCCGGTCTTCGAGCTGGTGACGTCGGACACCTTGCACGGGCGGCCCTGCGACAGGCAGCTGGTGGCTCGAGGCGGTGCCGCTCGCGGCTCGCAAGGCTGGGTGACATCGCGAGGACAGCTCCGCTCTGCTGACGCGGCGCGCTGCACGCGATCTGCAGCCGGCGGCGGGCGGGCGCGCGCCTTGATCATGATGAAGCCACCCTTGCGGATCTGGCCCGCCTCAATCGGGTACGACTCGGAGGCGCCAGACTCCGTGCTCTCGAACACCTGGTCCGGGTCGTCAGCCATTGCCGAGGGGTGTCCTGCGCGGGGCGGGCTGCGGGCCGGTGAATGCGGCAGCGGGAGCTCAGAACCTCTCTGCGTGTGTCAACACTGCGCCAGCGCCGCAGGCCGGCCGGCGCGGCGCGACGGCAGCAGGTCCGACGCCGCGCCGCCGTGGTGGGCCGACGGCGCGGCCCGCAGAGGCGAGCCGGGCAGACCGCCGCGCCGGCCCGTCTCTGGTTTTGGGCGCTCTCGGGTTTTGGGCGCTCTGCCGCGCGCCTTGCAAAGCTGACGCGTGCAGGTCCTCGTGCGAAAAATAACACCGCCCATTGTCGATGTCTGGCCGGGCTTCTCGGAGAGGGGAGCGCGGGCTTGCTCTTGCAGGTATGGCGCGAGCGGCGAGCGCTGAGCAAATAGCGCACGGGCCCTCAGCGGAGCTGGGAATACTCGTAGGACCGCCGCAAGCGGCGTGGCGTGGAGCGGTTGAGCAAGTAATGCCCGATATCGGAATAGGACCGCCAGCTGGGAATACTCGTCGCCCTGAATGGTTGCCCAGGTTACTCAGGACACCATCCCGGCGTGAACACGACGAACTGCCCTTCTCCGATGCACGCGCGGCACGCGCCACGGCGCGGCACGTGCCGCCGTCTTTGTTTGAAGTAAAAAGTCGAATCAGAGCGGTGTCGGCGTTGTCCTGAGTTTTCTCCTTCGGACCGCCCAACCGGGACCGCTCCGGGACGCACGCCGGCGAAGCACCATCAAGCTGCTGTACGGCCGCGGTATCGCCTCTCCTGGGCTTAGCTAGACTGAGATATATTGTGCACATGGTTGGTCTCTACAATATATACACTGACACTCTACCTCCCAGAGCTCGTCCCGGTCCGCCACGGCCATCCTTGGCCTCCGGAGGGCCCCCGGCCGCGGCGCGGTGCGGCGGCGTCACAAATCCGACCACAGAGCACCGGGACGCGGTCAGGCGATCTGAGGCCCAGTGAGGCGTATGCATTGCCCATCCATGGCTATCACCTGGACCCATCAACAGGCGCCTGCGGCGCCGTGGTCACGAGGTGTTGTTCACACCTGGGCAAGCATTCATGCAGCACAGTACCCTGGCGAGGTACTCCCACGCCTCTCGGGGTTTTTGTCTGGCCGAGTCAACCCGAGAGGCGAGTCTCGTAGGACCGCCGCAAGCGGCGTGGCGTGGAGCGGTTGAGCAATGGTTGGGTAGTAGGGCTAGAGGGTCGCTCTACACTTAGCCTCTGCAGCGAGCGAGCGCTCAACTTAGCCCCCGCACGGAGCCGGGCTCAGACTTAGACGCTGGAAGGCCGGGGGCCATGAACTTGACGACACGAGGCCAACTCCGGGTAAAACCCGGGTATCCCTGCAAAAGTCCAGGTTTACCCGAAAAATACCTGGACGCGGTCCCGACCAGCGTATGCCGCGCACGACGCCATATCGCCGTCTCCCAGGGCCAGTGCGCTACTTGCGGCGCGCAACGCCTGCTCAAGTACGCGCACCGTACTATGTGCTGCCGCTATGCGTGCCTTAAGGCGGCTGCGGCGAAGCGGCGGGCGCGGCATGCCGATGGCAGTGCGGACGATGCGGTTGCGATGTGTTCTGCTTCAAGATCGTGGCGGTGCTTGGCATGCACTTCTGCGATCCCAATCAGCTCATCGCAACGAAGCAGCGCAACAAGCTGGCTGCTGCCAACAAGGCCCTATGCTACCTCACGCGCGGATCGTTCAAAGAGGACCAGCATACACAGGCTTCTCTGACATGCGTTTGTTTGAGCTTGAGGCTATTTGTGAGAACTATTTGGCTAGATGTCGCCGAAGTGCGCTCAAGAAGCAGCAACGAGAATCGGAAGAGGAGGATGCTGAGGCGGCGATTGCTGAGCATGAGGAGGATCGATCGCCCGCCGCGCAGGCGAAGAAAATTTGGGCGCGAGCGCCGTATATCGCGTGCCATGGCCGACTTAGCCGGTGTAAGAGGCTCCCGCTCTGATCTTAGACCGCGTAAGCACTCCAGCGTGGCTAGCCACACTTAGACCCGTTAAGCCGCGAGGCTCAGAACTTAGACTACTACCCAACGAGTAATGCCCGATATCGGAATAGGACCGCCGCAAGCGTGGCGTGGAGCGGTTGAGCATCCCTCCGGGGGGCCCTCTGCGCCGGGGGAGGCGTTGTTTGGAGGCTAGGACGCAAGCGTCCGTCGCCCTTTTCAAACTCGGGGCCCACTCCGCTACGCTCCGACCCGAATTTGGAGGGCCTAAAAGTTTAAGGTGTTGCTGCGCAAAAGGGGTCGGACACAGGGCGCAGCTCATGCTAAGAGCTAGAAGAGGAGATAGAGAGAACAACCACCCTGTCCCGTTATTGCGTACACCAACAAACACCACAAAACGCTCTCTCTCTCCTGTCCTCACTCAGGGGGGTCACAACTACCAAGTCCCTCGACTAGCTGCCACAGGGCGCAGCTGCCACAGGGCGCAGCTGGAGACGCTCCCCCTCAATCGGCATCCACCCCCACCCGCTCCAGCCCCACTTCTGCTGCCGAGAGAGCTGAATCGAAGCAAGCGAGCCATTGCATCTTGGCGTGCTCCTGGAGCGCGGCTTTCTGCGGCCACGAGCACGGCGGAGTCGGCGTCGTAGCGCGCATCGTTCCCGCTCATCGCCCATTCCTCCCGTGACGTGTGTCGGCCGCGATTCGATGTCGCCACCTTCATCGCCAACGAGGACTCCCTCGACTGCAGGGGGGCTCCGGCGCGGGGAGGGACTCCGCCTGCTGCGCTGGCCGACTGCGCCCTCCTCCTCCATGGGCTCGATCCGATTCCGCAGCGGCGGTGCTGCGCGGGAGGCGGCCGCGGGCACGCTGGGCTCGATCAGCGGCGGGAGCGCGAAAGCACGGATTTGGCGGATTCTTGACTTCAATTTTACGAATGTCTCGGCACCAGCTGAAGGCTTGCCCCCGTCCACGGCCCACATCGCCGGATTCGTGCACGGTATTCGGATTTTGGCTATTTGCTCGTGTGGGGGTATATCGCAGATTTGTCAATGGTACCGCGTCTGCGACGCGGGCGCCTTGCGGGCAGAGCCCTTAGCCACCCTTTTATCTTGCGCGGTCATAACGCGCTTGATGTCTGGCCGGGTCGGCCAGCAGGGCTGGGCTGCAGGGCGTGCACCACCATACAGAACAAGCTCGTCAGGTGCAGGTGTGAACGGGTAGTCTCCGCCCATCCCCAGGGCCTCCAGGGCTCGCACCTCAACCTCTCACAGACCAGCGCATAGCGCCATAGGACGTATTTTCTTCTCATAACAAGGCTGTGAATGTGCTTTTCTGTGAACAGAGCTGCTGTCTCTCCCTTCTCGACTGTCTGTGCTTGCTTGTGCGTCTTGGCTGTGGGATTATGTTTTTGTGTGAACAGAGCTTCATGTCACTCCAAACGGTTAGGGCCGCTGCCGGTGCGCCAGTCATGCATCTGGTCCACGCACTGCTCGCAAGTAAAGCGTCTTCACAGGTCGGCAGATACGCCTCACCTTCGAAAGGGTGGCTGCCTACCCCAAAGCCCAGCCCGCGCGGGGCATCGATTTCTCTTAACGATTTCACTTTAAAACGCTGGTGCAGATGGGGTTTTCTCTATAGAAGTCGGAGCCTTGCGTCCAAGGAGAGGCAGCGTGCGGCTCCGTGGACTCGGCCATCTCCCGCGGGTGAGAGGGCGAGAGGAAGCACTCCCGCCCTCTGAGGCGGCCGTCCGAGTCGGGGAGGCAACCACACAACCATCCCCGCGGGTGTGGACGGCCTTATCGGCCCGCTATGCTAACGTAGGGTCGTCGTAGCTTCAGCCGTGAATTCCTGCACAGGGCCGTGTCTGGCGAGTAGAGGCACACGCACGCTCTCTCGAGGTCTCTTGGAGCAGAGCCCCGGCGAGTCCTCGAAAGAGCAACCGAATGGGTCCTCGGAGAGGGTACCCTGGGTGGGCGGGGCCTCTATTGAATACTCGCCAGGGGGCGTGTGGAAATCGCCCGCCCCCGCCCCCACGCGCCCCCACGTGCACAGCAGCGCCGTGTGTGGGGGTTGCTCGCACTGCAACATCGGACGACCCTATAGCCGCGGCAGCCGTGAACTTGCTGCACGCCGTCCTCCACGTCGCCACTGCAGCGCCGGTGTGCGCCGCTCCCGCTGCAACTCAACATCGCGCTGTGCGATGTCGATGTCGAGCAGCAGCAACGACTGGGAGCTGTTCCAGCAGTGGCAGCAGCAGATGCAGCAGAAGAAGGGCAGGCTCCGCGGAGCGAGTGGTGGTGGCGCAGCGGCGAGGGTGCGGCAGCTCGAAGCCGACCGATGGCCACGGCATGGCGACTTGGACGATGAGGAAATTGCGATGCTCAAGCGGCAGCGAGATCGAGCCAAGATCGGGCTGATCGTGGCGGGCGTCGTTATAGTGTCGCTGTGG